GGGCGTCCACATCAGTAAGGACCTCACTTGGACACACAGCTGGTCAAGAAAGCCCAACGGCGGCTGTACTTCCTGAGGAGGCAGAGGAGGTTTGGCATGTCGCCTAGGATTCTTTGCAACTTCTACAGATTTTAGTAGGTTTTAAAGTGTCTTAAGATATTCATTCATCTTAAAGTAAACCCCAATCTGTAAAAATGTAGCTTTGTGTTACATCATGGAGGTGAGTATACTAAAACTGACAAATTTCCAGAAGGAAGTCCAGTGAAACTACTGTAATGAAAGTTTTCATACAATAGTTCCTATGATGTTATTCCTGCAGTGTTCAGATGCATTTTATGCTATAAATTTCAATATGTACAACCTCTAAAACCTATGTACAATCACATGTACAAAAGGGCAGGTTCATGAAAATGGCATTAGCTGTATCAAATCACAAAATAACTAGAATATGGTAGTATCTGGGGTGGAAACTTTCTTGATGCACCTTTAAGCATGTTTTTCAACTTATCCTTATTTGTGTTCTAGTTTCTAATGAGGCTGAGTCAGTTTAATGGCTTTGAAAGTTCAAACAGTGCTGGGTTACCAAGAGGAGTGTGCTGTCTGTTGAAATGTGTACTAAGTGGCCAAGATCCTACAGGAGCCCTGAAATAGCCTTCTAGTCCTTTGTTCTATGGCTCATGGGAGGTGTGGCTTGGTGCACTCATGGAATTCCTACCACTCTTTACATTTTCGACTCATCATAATTTCTCTCTTCTATGCATCAGGCCATTCAATTTCTCTCAAGCAGAAAGCTCTAGCCTCTCAAACAATCACTCTTTTAAGTGATCACTTCATGCTCTATCATCCATCCATTATCAGTACTGCTTATTGCTGAATAGGGCCACGAGGAGGGCTGGAGCCAATCCCAGCTGACATTGGGTGAGAGGCGGGGTACACCCTGGACAGGTCACCAGTCTATCACAGGACTGACATGTAGACAAACAACCATACACATACACACTCACACTCACTCCTAGGGGAAATTTAGAGTCACCAATCAACCTAAGTGGCATGTCTTTGGACTGAGGGAGGAAGCCAGAGTGAACCCGGACAAGTACAGAGAAAACAAGCAAGGTCAGCCCAGGCTCGAACCCAGAGCCTTCTTACTGTGAGGCGACAGCGCTAACCACTGTATCAGCTGTATCAGCCCTTTCCAAATAGAACAAGGAGCAGACAGAGAGAATAAGGTGACATGAGAGGGAGCGTGAAGATAAGATAATAGGAAACAAAAGATAATAGGAAACAAAAGGGGGAGGATAATAGAGGTCATAGGTTAAAGGGAGGGATTAATTGCCACAGATTGAAACTAATTAAGAGAAGTATTAGATTAGCACTGGTAAGGTCAAGAAAATTACAGATGCTATCATCATCCCTTCCCTACTTCAAGCAGAGCTTCCAATTCATTACACATAACACCATTTACAGTGGAGCAGAGCAGTGGTCCCCAACCATCGGGCCGTGGCCCGGTACCAGTCCGTGAGGCATTTGTTACCGGGCCGCACAGAAAGAATAAATAATTTATATAATTTCCATTGCACTGATTTTTAGAGTCTGGAAGATGTTTTATTATGAAAAACGACAGGATTTTCTCCAACATATCATTCACCTGTGCCCCTTGACACATCAAGACGCATGTGTCGGTCACGACGTCACGTGATAAGTTGCTAAAAAAATAACCAAACTAGCAAAAATGAGTAAAAAACAAACGTCTTTGAAGAGCTTCTTTTCAATGTGGAAAAGGCCAACTGAGGAGCCAGAAGAGGAGCCCACGACCTCCAAGAAAAAGAAAGCTTCTTTTAACAGACAATATCAGGAGTCATACTTAAAATA